GCACTCCTCCTCGCCTTGCGTGGGAATGGTTTGCGCAGTAACGATGCGCTTCTTGGACTTCGAAAACGAATATTTTCTCTTCGATAAGACTAACCTTTCTTTGGAGGAGCGCACGCTCACTGCTGCAATGAAGAAAAAGAAAAGGACCACTGCTGGGGTCACCGCGTGCCTCAATCATCTCCAAGCATCGTGTGGGTTGAGGGATTGGTGTGCAATCACATTGGCCCTGGTCGAGAGGTCCCTGCAGCTTCATTCGCCGATGTATGACGTTGCGTTGGTGGGCTCGCCGGGACGGAGTACACACCTCGACGCATAGAGATAGGCGAGCCGACCTTGGCAATCTTCTTATATATATATATATATATATACTTGGCAGGGTGAGGCTCTATGCTCTTTAAGGGCGATGAGAGTTCCTCTTCACTGCATGGGTGTGCGGAGTGCGGCTTCATAAATGAGTTTCGCGATGGGGTCGCGAGGGGACTCAGAATGTTTCATTGGGACCCTTGTTGGCGTCCTTTAAGGGCTCTGTTCGCAGACGCACACCATCCTGCGGTAATGCTGCTGCCGAAGGAACGACCCGCAGCGCCACAACCTCTGCCACCTGTATGTAGTGCCGTGGGCATGTCCTCTGTGCGAGTGGGAGGGGGAACGAGCACCTCCTTCAACCAGGGCACACTCGGGTGTTCCGCTCGCAGACCGTGTCTACTGCCAGGAACACCAAAGAAGATTTCGTAGCGTGAAGGGCGATGGGAATAGGACTCCCGTNCAGACCGTGTCTACTGCCAGGAACACCAAAGAAGATTTCGTAGCGTGAAGGGCGATGGGAATAGGACTCCCGTCTGAAGAGGTGAAGGAAAGCAGTGCCTTGCAGGTAAGGCAGGTGCACCTGCATTGGTGTCGACGACCCCACACTTCACAAGCAGTTAAAGCCATCAACTATTCACTCAACGCAAACTTGTTGTGCCGCCAGCTAAAATTGGGGAGTGAAGGCGTTGCTTGGAGTAGGGCATTTCATTCCTTCTGCTAACACATGCCCTGCACCAATTTCTCTTACATGCTCTTATACAGCGCGCCTTAGGACTGCTG